AGGTGAGGTTTCAAAAGGCAGGCAAGGGGTCAGGTGATAAAAGGGCTGGCACATCTGTCAGGAGGGGAGAGGGGCTGGGCTTTGCTCTGTAGGCGATGAGAGCTGTTGACATGGAGAGAGAGGAGTGTGGCGTGTCTGGATGTGCCAGGCCCAGCTCACGACAGTCAGCTCCTGAATCCTATCACTCGGCAAACCAGCAAGGAAGCATTTGAATCTTGACTTGAGTGGCTTTGAGGCCAGGCTCTGCGTGGTTGAGTGGTTGACTCAAGTTGAGTTGGCCATTAAGACGGAGGCCATCCTTCTGAGTGATAGGTGCGTTTGGGGCATGGGTGGGGTTGAAGGAGATGCTTCTCCTCTGCCTCCTGTCCAGAACCACATCCCTCTGGCCTCCCTGGTACCCAGTCCCTTCCTCTGGCTTCCGTGTGTTGCTTCTCAGTAGCCCTAGCCCTAACCCCAGCCCATGGCCAAAGGGTTAGCACACTCAGAACTTGCTCTTCTGGCTGCCTCTTGGCCGAGCCTCAGGGCTTGTCAAAGCTCACCTACCTCCCCGACCAACACACATTTGACACCTCATTCCCATGTTTAAGGAGCTGAGATTCCCTCCCGGCCTGCTAGGGCCCCCAACTGCCTCCAAGCCGCCTGTGTCCAGGGTGGGCACAGTGCCTCTTCCTGTTGGCACTGCATTGATTTTCCTCCACGTTGGCTGTTGGTTGGTTATGACTGCTTCGGGTAATGTGTTCTAATGATTGTTATTCTGCTGGATGTGGACCCAAAGGACTTTTTATCCTGAAGGGCCCGCATCCTGAAAACCTTGATAAATCATTTTCTGTGCACAACAGGCTTGTGATTGCATAGGGAGGGGTCTCCCCTCCTCTAGTTGCTTTCTTGCGGTCGAGTAGTCTGACCCCCTTTATTCTTCCTGGTTGGCCTTTCTGGCCCGCCTTCTAAATAAATGGTATCTCCCCACTTGACATCAGTAAGAGAAGTGGAGGTCCTTAATCTCAGGGCTCAAAAGGCTGACCATCTGGGTCAAGGTTTCTCAAGATGTTATCCAGAAGCCCCGAGAGCTAGCTAAAGTGCTGATCCTTGGCCCTACCCTTGACCTATGAGTGAAAACCTTTGGAGATAGGCCTTGGAATCTACATTTTTAACAACGCCAGGAGGAGATTCTTATGAACATCTAAATTAGAAGACAACTGCGCTAAACCCTTTAGCACCTTAGCATCCCATGTTTATTTCCTTGGTTCCTTTGAAGTATGTGAGACGGATGTGTGCTGGCCTGTGTGTGCTTCCAGCCCCAGGGGCACCTCCGCAGTTCACTGGCGGGAGCCTGGGGAGCAGAGAGTAGGGAGGAGGTCCGCATCCAAGTCAGCTGGGGATTTTCCTCAGAGCTTTCCAGAAGCATGACGCGTACATCTGGATTACGGCCGCTGTGGAATAAGGGCCCCTTGGTGCAGTCGAGCTGAGTGTTGAGGGTGGAGTCCAGGGCTTGGAGCAGCTGCTGGGAAGAGCGGGGAGACATAGTCAGACAAAGCAATCAGAGCCTTGAAGAGACTGTGGATTTCACTTCCCGAGAGAAACAGGCACAGTGTCCAGCCTGGCCCAGGCTAAGGGCCTGGGAGCTCGCCCCACTGGCTGCGGTACCTTGTGTTTCCCTTACAGTTTGTCCTTCTGCTCCACTGTCACCCATTCCAGCACCCACGGCCCCATCCAGGCAGGTCCCTTCCTCTGTCCCCTGCCCCTTCCCACTGGGTGTCCAACATCCTCTCACCTGCGATGGTTTAACCTGAACTGGCCTTGCCCATTGAGGCTGCTGGACTTTGTGATGGATCTAGTGGTCCTTTAGCTTAAGAGTCTTAAAGTCATCTTCCCTCACCCCTCCGAGTCCCCACTCCTCCTACCCACCTCTATTTCATTCCTCCTCTTTGCTCTGCCTGCCTCTCTTTTTTGTCCTTCCTGCCTTAATAGATTGAAACCAACATGGTGTTCCGGCTTCTTGTGGTCCTGGTAAATAGCTCTTAATGTGACCGTGGTCGATGGGGAGACGGGGGTGACGAGCATGTTGCACAGTGTGGGGGACACAGGCACGTACCCTCATCTCTGATGGGAGCGGCAGGTGTGTGTGCCCCACATGTCATGCGTGTGCTGGGGTTTCAGCAGAGCCCTCCCAGGGGCTAGACAGACCTGGGACAGGTGTGGATGTCCTCAGTTTCTCCTCTTGATATGAAAAGGAAGATGACCCAATGAAGGTGCAGAACAGCCTGCCAGCTCTGGGCGTCAGGAGCAGCTGGCCCCTCCTTTGAGGACAGAAATAGATATTTCCATTTGTACTTAGCAAATAGAATTTAATGAAACAGTTTACACTTTCGATTTTCTTATCAAGCCTTCGTTGCCTGGCAGTTGTAATTCCTGATGCTGTTGCTGCAAACAGTAGCCCACGTAGGGGTAAATGACGTGGCAGAATAAGTTTAATATTGACATTTTCAAAATTAGTGAAGAGTGGGTCGTGGCCAGAAGGGCTCAGGTGTCAGGTGGTATGAATTCTCCCTCCTTGCCTCAGGAGGTGCTTTCTTAGCTCTTTTGCCAAAAGCTCTTCTTTTGTGAACCCTAGGGGGTCTGCTTTCTCCTGGCAGAAAGGAACACTCAGGTTTGCACTCGTTTGCACCCAGGGTTTCTCACTGCCTTCTGGGTGTAAGTGAGACCACTGGAAACTCCACCCTTTGCTGCTCCCCCACTTCCTAGATCATGTGTGCATGTTCTTGGGAGGTTAGGAGGTTCAGGGTGTGGAGGAGATAATGGTTTGGGCTGCAGGGTGGGGCCAGGGCCCAGGAAGGGGCCTGCTTTCTCTGGGGCCAGCAGCTTTCCAGGCACAGTGAGAAGGAAAGACAGCTCTTCAGACTCCCATTAACTGGTGTCAAGGGCCCATCCTCGCAGGAGCCACCCCCTAAAATCTGAGTGGATGAGAGCCTCCTGAATGCAACACGTTTCTCCTCTGAAAACAGCCAGCTGGGGTCTCTTTTGTGTGTGTAGTACGGAACCCATTTCTTTGGAGGGACGCTGCGTGAGGGGCAGCCTCTCGTCTGACATTTCAGCCCCTTTAGGAATGATGCCAGGCGAGTTGGGAGAGGCAGCCATGTGTGCAACTGCATTTTAGTAGCCTTTAGGGGTCCGGGCACAAGGGGCAGGCTGTTGGAGAATCCGACCTTTCTCAGCTGAAAGCCCTTTCCAGTTCAGACCAGCGCCATCCCTGTGAGCCGTGGGCTGTGGCAATACCCTGGCCCAGTGTCACTTGGGGCCTGCTGCTGGCTGAGGTCCCAAAACCCCAGGGAAAACTGGGGGCAGAGAGATGATTCTGGAGAGTTAAGGGAATGGGCAGAGTATGCAGCCCCTGGGGGGTTTGTGTGGACAATGTGCCTTGTCGGGCGTCTCGATGCTAACTCTTGGGTGACGTCATCTGGTTGGCCTGTGGTTTGTGTGTGTGTATGTTGATCAGGATGTTCCTGTTTTGTGGTTGTCTGATCACTTGTTTTTGGCCGTGAGCTTCTGTATGAGTGTTTATTTTTAGCAGCTGCCACTTCTGGCCTGAGGGCTGATCCTTGGGCATGGTAGGAGCTTGTATTTTCTGAAATGTTTGTGGCTTTAAACTTAAGTATTTATTTTGGGGTATTGCTGCTTTTTTACTGTGTTTACTGTAGTGTGTGTGTGTGTGTGTGTGTGAGTGATATGAGAGATAGGGTAGAATAATACAAATTGTGTGATCTTTAAATTTCTGATTTAGTTCTGATCTTAAATTAGTTCTGATTTAAATTTAGTTTTACTTTAATTATGTTTTAAATTGGTTGTGTTTTTAAATCCCAGCGTTACCCAGTACTGTGTGTCTACAAATAAATGGTTTCACCTCTCAGAGTCTCAATTTCTCCATCTTTAAGATAGGCATAGCACCTCTGACTCACAGGATTAGAAATAATGTACGTGTGAGCGGAGCAAAGTGCTTGGCATAGACTAGGTGTTGACTGCACGTTAGCCATTAATACTGGTCTTTGTATATTTGTGTCCACGCCCACTCTTTCTGACTGGGGTGCCTGTCTGGTGTGCCCCCCGAGTGCACGTGTCTGGGTGTTTGATCTGGGTGATTTCTGGGTGGAGCGTGTTTCCCTGGATGTCTTTGTGTCTGGTTTTCTGCGTGAGTGTGTGTGTGTGACTGTTGGTGTCTGGGCTGGAGTTTGTGCTGTCTTTGGGAGGGGGCCTGCTTTTCTCGCCAACTGGGGCCTGCCTTGGAGTGAGGGGAGGGGAGGTGCACGCGCGCGGTGGGGTGTGTGTCTGATGGCTGGAAGCTGGGCTGCTGACTGTACAGGGTGTGAAATCACCGAGTTCCTCTGGGCGGGGAAGTTCTTCGTTCCTGAGTCAGCCCTTTGGCCTCCAGCCACCCAGCGCTCACTCTTTCCTTCCAGAGAAAGTATTGCTCACGGGGTCCCCCAGAGCTGTCTGCAGACAAATGACCCGGGGGACATCTCTCCCTGATGCAAACTCTGCTTTTATGTTCTCCATCCCTAAGATGCTCCCTCCACCTCTGGTCCCTGAATCTCCTTTTCAGACCCCTACGGGCCCCAGAATTCAGAGGAAAGTGTGTCCCCTTTAACAAGGGGCCTCCTGGCTTTACTGAACCCCACGTTGGCCCAGCACCTCCAGGTCCTTGGGAAGCTAGTGACATACCAGAACCAGGCTTTGGGCTGGGGCACTGTGCCGCCAGGACCCCTGCCCAATCTTGGGCTCCACTGCCTGGCCCTGATGCCGGGTGTTGGGGAGGGCAAGAGCCTAGGGAAGGGATCCTCCTGTCCTTTTGCTTTTCTGGCCCTCCTCAGGTCTGTCTTGGAGTGCTAAGGATGCTTTGGGATCCAAGGAAGGGAAGCTTTCAGCTGCTTTCTTTGGGAGAATAGAAGATGTCCCATCTCCCACTGACATCTGCTATCTCTATCTCCCTTCCTGGCCCTCTCTTGTAGAGGTTGTGGGCCACACCCAGGGACCCCTGGATGGGAGCCTGTACGCCAAGGTGAAGAAGAAGGACTCCCTGCACGGCAGCACTGGGGCTGTCAACGCTGCGCGTCCTGCCCTTTCGGCCACCCCCAACCACGTGGAGCACACCCTCTCTGTGAGCAGCGACTCGGGCAACTCCACGGCCTCCACCAAGACAGACAAGACCGATGAGCCTGTCCCGGGCCCCTCTGCTGCCGCTGCTGCCCTGAGTCCCGAGGAGAAGCGCGAGCTGGACCGCCTGCTCAGTGGCTTTGGCTTGGAGCGAGAGAAGCAAGGCACCATGTACCACACCCAGCATCTCCTGTCCCGCCCAGTGGGGGGCCCTGCTGCGCCCTCCTCTGGCCGCCACGTCGTCCCCGCCCAGGTTCACGTCAACGGCGGGGCCTTGGCATCCGAGCGGGAGACAGACATCCTGGATGATGAGCTGCCTAACCAGGATGGGCACAGCGTGGGCAGCATGGGCACACTGTCCTCCCTGGATGGGGTCACCAACACCAGTGAGGGGGGCTACCCAGAGGCCCTGTCTCCACTGACCAATGGTCTGGACAAGCCCTACCCTGTGGAAACTATGGTCAATGGCGGGGGCTACCCCTATGAGTCTGCCAGCCGGGCGGTGTCTGCCCAGGCTGGCCACGTGGCCCCCATGCGGCCCTCCTACTCTGCACAGGAGGGTTTAGCTGGCTACCAGCGGGAGGGGCCCCAGCCAGCCTGGCCACAGTCAGTGACCACCCCCCACTATGGCCATGATCCTAGCAGCATGTTCCGCTCTCAGTCCTTTCCGGAAACCGAGCCCCAGCTGCCCCCAGCTCCAGCCCGTGGCGGGAGCAGCCGGGAGGCTGTTCAGAGGGGCCTGAATTCCTGGCAGCAGCAGCAGCAGCAGCAGCAGCCTCGCCCACCTCCTCGCCAGCAAGAAAGAGCCCACTTGGAGGGTCTTGGGCTCAGCAGACCTAGCCCCCAGCCACTGGCAGAGCCCCCCATGCCTGGCCTCCCTGAGTTCCCACGGGCAGCCTCCCAGCAGGAGATCGAGCAGTCCATCGAAGCCCTCAACATGCTGATGCTGGATCTGGAGCCAGCCACGGCGGCTGCCCCCCTGCACAAGTCCCAGAGTGTCCCCGGGGCCTGGCCAGGGGCTTCCCCGCTCTCCTCCCAGCCCCTCTCTGGCTCCTCCTGCCAGTCCCATCCACTGACCCAGTCCAGATCCGGCTATATCCCCAGTGGGCATTCCTTGGGAACCACTGAGCCGGCCCTCCGGTCCTCCCTGGAGTCCGTCCCTCCTGGCAGGCCTTACTCACCTTATGATTATCAGCCATGTCCAGCTGGGCCCACTCAGACTTACCATCCAAAGAGCCTAGCCTCCTCCTCGTCTGCCCTCCTTCCAACCACCCAGAGTGCGCCAGGGCCTCAGCAACCTCCGGCCTCTCTTCCTGGCTTCACCGCTCAACCTCAGCTCCCACCAAAGGAGATGACTTCAGACCCATCACGAACTCCGGAGGAGGAGCCATTGAACCTGGAGGGGCTGGTGGCCCACCGGGTAGCAGGTAAGAGCCTTGGAGACCATCAGTGCTGGCTGTCCCCTCCTGACTTCCTCTACACCTTCCCTCTTCGGTCTTGGTTGGTTTTGCTGGGGGAAAATGCAGGCACAGCCATCATGCCTCAGTGGGCGCTGCTTTGGCCCGAGGAAGAGGCTGTCAGGAGCCCACATGCCAGCCATCCCTTCCTGCATTCATTGTCTGTTAGGCTCTAAGACGGGTATTGAGAATCAAAGATCAGTGTCTTTCAAGAGCTTTCAGTCTAGTGAGGGAACAGGTACACAGACAGATAATCCTAACAGTGTAGTGTGTGCTACAACAGAGGTGGGGAGCAAAGACCCAGAGCCTGGGAAAGCAAGGCTTGCCCCCTAGAGCAATCTGCAGGTGGTGACTCTGGGGCTGGAGAACAGATTTCCTATCAGAGAATGAGCTTATCTTTGTGGAGAGAGGAGAGAGAGTGGGGCAACCAGTCGAGCTTACTGGGGAGATAAATGCAAGAAACAGTGGCGTGCCCAGGGCCATGCTGGGAGGGGCAGGAAGTCTCCCTTCCTTCCTGCTGGCCTGAGCTGATGACCATTCCGTGGGGGCAGCCAAACTGGGCGGGAAATCCTATGAGTTGGTTTTGTGGTTGACATGAAGTCCAGCCACGGGTGAACCAGAGCCTGGGGCAAGGGGGAACTTGTACCAAGCCCCTCCGCTGACAGGGTGGTGTGAGGCCGGGATGCAGAAGAGGAGCTGGGCAGCTGACTCTGCCATCTGTCCCTTTTCCTAAATTTAGGGGAAGCTGAGTCACCATGCCAGCTGCAGGGAGGAAGGGAGACACCCTCCCTGGAGATGGTTGGTGGGTTTGGAGTAGTAGCTGGGGCCAGGCCTGTTGGCTAGTGGGCTGGGTCTAGGATCTGGTGTAGGGGGCATGGACACCCAGCTCCTATGCTTCAGAGCAGAGCATAGTCCCCAGTTCAACTATTGGTAACTTGAGATTGGCCATAATGAAGTATTCACATTATGGAAGTTGGCAGTCAGGGCTTCACCTGCTCTGGAGAGTTGGTCTAGCAGCACATCATTGCTTTTACCTGAGTCAGACCACGAGATGAGCAGCTCTATAACCCCAGGGGTGAAATGCTCCATGGGGTGGTCCCTGTGGGGCTCTGTCGTCTACTTTTGTCCACATCTGGGCCCCTGTGATACAGAACCCCAGGCTTGTGGGCAGAAACCATTTTCTCCTGGTTTTGTTGAAGGGAGAGGAATGGGTCCTCTCATTATTTTACAGGGTTGAGGTGGTAGCCTGAGGAATAGTGATACTCTGGTCTAATGACCCAAGGGGCTCTTCTCTGCGGGAGCAGGATGAATTTCCTCCCTGTCCCAGAACCCTTCTGTAAAGCCACACTTTAATGGCCCCAGAAGGATGTCCCTCTTGTAGCAGCTCTCCCCTCAGCCTTTTCTCTCCTATCAGCTTCTGAGATCTTGACTGTCAACCTCCATATCCTGTAACTGCCCAGATTTTGGCTGCCAAGAAGTCACAGGGAGGGAAGGATATTGTTGGCACAGTATGTCTGTCCCCCAACCCCACCAGCTGTCTCCTCCACCAGCTGTAAGTGACTTAGTCAGGGGAAGGGATAAGATGTGTATAGGAGACAGTTACATTTGGTCCATGCCCTGTCATGAACAGTATTTCTTATGTCAGCAGTTCTTCTTTGCACACCTTCCTCAGGAGCCCTTCAGGTTATCTGCAGTGCTTGTCTAGATAGAGATACACCAACAGGATCAATTTGTAGAATAATCTGGGGCCAAGGGATAGACTTTCAGCACTGCCTTTTCCTTCTCATTCTATGTTCTTCTACTAGAAGCTGGAACATAAGCTTCAACATGAGTAACCCAGGAAGCTCAGATCTGAGGGAGAACCTCTATATGGCCATGGATGTGATCTGGTTTCTCCTGGCCTTTCTCCCTCGACTCTGCCTTTTCTTCCTTGGCTGTCCTCCATACCTCGGTACTATGTCCCTGGTTCATTCCACTTTGATCCAGCTACTCTTTATGTCTTATTTCAGCTTAGATCTCAGAGACTGTAGGGATAGTTTTCTTAACTTGATAAAGGGTGGGTACCAGAAATCTATAGCACACATCACACTTTCTTGTGAAACATGAGAAGCTTTCCCATTACACCAGGGACAAAACAAAGTTGCCTGTTATCACCACTATTATTTAACATTGTATCAGATATCCTAGCCACTACAATAAGACAAGAAGAAGAAATAAGAGTCAGAGTTGTCGAGTCCATTCAAGTTATCTTATGATCCTGATTCTGTGACTGGAGCGATCTCAGGTGTCTCTAGAGGTAGAGCTTTCAATGCATATTGGAAATCAGATGTGGATCTTATCTCCAAGGAGTCTAGAGTTTAGTAAGGGGAAAAAGAACTGGAACTTTAAAATGAAGTTATTTGGAATAAGAGAGAGATGGAGAAAGTTCTGTGGGAATGAAGAAAAAGGAAAGATTATCAGCTAGAGAGATCGGGGAGGCTCTGTGTTGAGTGTGGGTTTTGAACACAGCTTTGGAAGCTGGGTAGGATTTTGAAAGTGAGTGAGGTCACTGGAGAGAGAGGATACATAATGAAGACAGGAAAGCACAGGACATGTCTGAAGAATAGAGTAGGTTGGGAACACATAAGCTGAGTGAGAGAGCATCAGGAAAGGTAGCCTGTGGCCTGCATCCGGCTGGTTTTAAATACCAGACTGAGGAGCTTGCATCTTGCCCAGTGGCAATGTAGGAAGTCATTACTATGTTTCAGTCAGAAGAGGATGCCACAATCAGGGCTGTAGTTTAAGAAGATATATCTCTGATGGGTCTGGGCAGGAAGGATGCAAACGGGGATAGACTCTGAGCTAGGAGATTTTAGCTTATTAGCTAGCCTAGGTGATGGGAACTGACCATGGAAATACAAAAGAAGAATTGGGTCAAGGATGCTGTGGGAATAGAACCAATGCATTTATGAATTGATTGACTGTAGTAGATGAAGAAGAGGGAGACATCAAAGATGATTCTGAAGCTTCATGGATAGAAGCAGAATGATGGTTCCATTAATGAGCCAGAAGTTAGGAGAAGGAGCAGGTTTGGTGTAAGGTGAAGACCTCAGTATCAGATGTGTTGAGTTTGAGATGACGGTGGAGCCTCCAGGTAGAGATGTATGGAAGGCAGCTGGACACCTAGAATTGGAGCTTGAAACAGCAGATAGAGCTACAGATTTCAGAGTTGTCCTCACAAAGGTGAAGGTTAAAGCTTTGGGCATGGATGCGATCTCTATGTCAGAAAGCATGGAGAGAAATGACAGAATGAAATGGCCATGAGGGAAAAGGAGGCCAGGGGAGGCCAGGGGACTGAGAATGAATGTTCCGGGCAGTGAAAGGAGACTGGGACAGTGGGTCATCACAGAAGTTAGAGTAGGAGAGGGTTTCCAGGAGGAGGAGGGGGAGGTTAGCAGTGTCACTGTGGAGAGATCAGGGGAAAATTCATCGTGCTTGCCAATTAGGTGGCCCCAGTGATGTTCAAGGGCATATTTTCAGTAGAGTGGTGGTGACAGAAACCAGACTGAGGGATTGAGGAGTGAGAGGTGAGAGAGTGAAGACAGCATATCAGTTACTCTTTTGAGTGGTTTTGTGATAAAAGGGAAGAGGATGGTAGCTGAAGAGAGTAGCAAGATATTGAGAACTTTTTGTGAATATAGGAGCCATGAGAATGCTTTTAAAGAAGGAGAGAGCCCAGGAGGATAATTTAGGCTCAACCAGGAGGTGAAGTACCTCTTCATGAAATAAGAATAAAGATGGTTACAGATATAGAGAAATGTTGGTGTCAAGCTTTGGGAGCTTAAATTGAGAACCCAGTTTTTACACTTTGCTATGGAAATAAGAGATGAGACAAGGCCCATTCCATCATTCATTCAACATGTACTCCTAATCCATGCTACATGCTAGTCTAGGCTCTGGAAAAATGGTGATAAACAAAAGAGATAAAAACCCTGTTTTTAAGAAGTAGAAATGGACAATAAACAAATAAGCAGATACACATATGATATGTCCAATGGGTGATTAAGTGTCATAGAGATAAAATAAAGCAGTGAAATGCCAGGGAGGGGTGAGGGATGGGTGAAGGGTGGTTGCACTTTACATAGGATGGTCAGGGAAAAGGCTTCACTGGTTGGGGAGAGAATGTGCCAGATGGAACAGCAAGTGCAAAGGTCCTGAGTCAGGAGTGTGCCTGGTGTGGGGGATGTAGGGGGCCTGAAGTCAAAGAGGGGATGACAGTGGGAACCAGCTGGCTGTGGGCCTTGTAGGTGATCATAAGAAATTTAGCTTTTACTAAATACATGATATGAGGAGCCTTAGGAAGGATTTGGGCAGAGGCATGATATCCCTTGACTTGTTTAAAAAGGATTAGTGTGGCCAGGGTGGAAGGAGACCAGATAGGAAGCTGGTGTTATCGGTCAGGATGGTGTCTAGAGATGGTTAGATGTGCTCTGGTTGTAGACATATTTGGGAGGTAGAGCCATCAATATTTACAGGGAGACTAGACATGGGATGTGAGAGAAGGCAAAGTCAAGGATCCTGGCCTGAGCAACTGGAGGATGGGATTCCTCTTTATTGAGATGGAGAAGAATGTGGGAAGAGCTGGCTTAGAGGAATTATCAGAAGTGTGATTTTGGCCACGTTAGATTTGAGATGCCCACAGAATGTCCAAGATGGTTGGATATGTAAGTCCGGAGTTGATGGAGGGAAAGTTGGAGCTTAGAAATGTGGGAGTTGTCAGCATATGGATGGATATGAAGCAAGGAGCTACATGACACTACCCAGTGGGTGAGCACAGATGGAGGAGGTCCCAGGATTAAGTTCTTGAACATTCAGCAGTTGGAGACATGAGGAGGAACCAGCAGAGAAACTGGTTTGGAGCAGCTTTTGAAGTAGAAGAAACTGAAAAGATGTGTTTCCCTGGAAGGCAGGAAGGGGTGATATTTGCCCCT